TATTTAATTATATTAGATTAGTTTTAACTATTGTATCGACATGTGTGTAAATTGCAAAGTTTAGTTATTCTAAAACAGATGGAGTAATACATAGCATAATGAACGTTTTAATATATTGGTTAATATAAATACTAATGGTTGTCACTATGTTAAAATTAGGCTAGGGTCACTAGTGAGGTGCCAAAAAATGACAGATCCGACTAAAAAAAAAAAAATCAAATATAGACTAGTTTAAACACAATATTTAGCATGACTCAAATTTAAAAATAAATCCGACCTGATCCGACCCAAACACCCAAACTGACACCACTAGACATAACGTCGATTGGCCTTGTGTATATGATTCTTAGATCCACACAAGTTTGTTTTTCCCCCCTCAAAAACCGAAAAAGATTAGCATAAATTGCCTAAATTAAAAAAGAAAAAAAATTAAAAAATCTGCTTTCACTTCCAAATGTCCAAGTCTCTTCATAAATTACCTAAATCTCATCCTAAAACCGAAATATTCTCATGTTTCCTAAAATAATTTATTTTCCTTAATTCAATCATCATTGGAATATTCTAGAATCCAAAAGTAGTCCTGATTTAACTCAAATTTGTTTACGAACAAAAAAATTATACTAGCAATAAAAGGATTTTTTGACTTTTATCACAAAAAAAAAAAATCTAAAAATTGTTTTTTACCATCAAAACTTCTAAAACTTTTATTTTACCACCAAAAAAATTCTAAAAATTGTTTTTTTACCACCAACCGTCAAGAAAACCGTTAAATCTAATGGTTTGAAAAAAAATCTTCGATTTTCGTGCACAAAATATGTTTTTTTACAAGTTCAAGGGGGCATTTTGGCCCTATAGATCAAATTTGAGGTCAGAATTGACAAAAAATGATTTGAAATGCCTTATTTTGCGTGTTTTACGCAAATCGATGTATTTTTAGGAGGAAAAAGGAACCATTTACGTTAATTTTTTGTTAGTTATGACCTCAAATTGGATCCAAAGGGAAAAATGCTCCCCAAAACCCCTGAAGACCATGTGTTTGGCACGAAAATCGAAGCATTTAAAAAATCCCGTTAGGTTTACTGGTTTTTTTTACGGTAGGTGGTAAAAAATAATTTATTTTTTTTTATTTGTGGTAAAATAAAACTTTTAGAAGTTTTGGTGGTAAAAACAATTTTTTGATTTTTTTTGGTGATAAAAGTCAAAAAAATCCTAAATATATTTATCTTTCAAGTAAATTTAAACTTATCTTATCTAGGACTCTCTACAACTTTATGAAAGCTATAAATACCCCTTGAAAACTATAGAATTAATCAAAGATCAGATATCTCATAGTGCCCTAATTGAACTCTTTTGATCTTCCACCATGACATCTGATCTTCTCAAGATGAAAAGAATAATAAGGTTCGTGAATCCAAATTGTCGCTTCTCAACAATAATAATATGAACCAGAACTCGAAGAAGACGACCACGAGCCCTTCAGTTGAGCCTCTACTTCTAGCACTTATATATTCAAGCTTTCCTCCTTTCAGATTCCAGGTTGATTCTTTTGATGTGTCGTCAATGAAGATTGATAACAATACGAATTACTCGGCGGATATTAGCCTAACCCTATCTGTGAAGACGGTGCAATGGTTCTCACATAGCAAAGTATTCGAGTCCCTCCGAATGGTACTGGAGTATCGACATTGGAACATCTCGTCGTCTATCAAGCTTGACCCTTTCTATCAAGAGAAAGACTGGAAGATTTAATTGAATGTTCGTGTTAAAGATGCACAACTTGAAAACATAGCGACTGATTTACTCGTTAAGGATTTGGTAACACGTAGTCCTTTGCCCTTTGCCTTGGTCATCGAAGGTGAATACTGGGATATTGATTCGGGGAGTGATCATGGATGTCCTATGAAGATTGTTTATGGTTAAATTTTTACAACCATATAGTTTGGGGAAGGGTACTATGATCGCTACTCCACTCATCTGTGACACTCATTATAATGTATCTTGCTAATTAATTAAAGTTTTAACTTTTTTATTAGAATTGTTTTTCCTCATAATATATACAAATAACAAAAATTATTGCATTAGAGTTTTATTTTTGATTTATTTCAGTTTTTTAGCTTTTTGAAGCAATTATTTTATTTGTTATTTTTATTATTGTTTGAGGAGCCCTCTATTTACAAGAACTTCTATTCAAAAAATAAATAAATAAATAAATAAATATTTTTGTCTACTAATTACTCATTTTTTCCAATATATTTGTAAATTGTTTATACATATATACTAAGCTATGTAGTAAGTGGATGTTAATTTATTGCAGTAAAAGTATAATTGGACTTTATGTGAGTGAATATTTTTATTATTATTTATATGGGTACCATAAAAGAGAAAGAAATATAAAATAAACTATTGTCAATTCACAAGAAAATAACCAAGACTAAATCTCTAACTCAAGGCAATGTCTAGACAAAGCCAATTCTTGGTCAAAACGTTGGTCTCCTAGTAGCACAATTAATATTTTGTCACGTGTCACCAATTTGTCATTTGGCGTATAATGTGAAGCCGTATCAGATCATACCATTCCATTAATGATTGAAAAACTCCATGCATTAACCTCCACGTATTAATGTTTAGTTCACAAAATTTGTAAGAAATTAAACATTACTCCATTTTTTTTTTGCATTAATTCATAAAATTGTAATTATAAAGTAAAAGATTTGATTTATATATATATATTTTACAATTGTAATTATAGAGTAATACGGAGTATTATTTTGTGCATTATGGAGGTATATATATTAACATCGGATTTATACAGATTTGATTTATCAATTTTTTTTTTCACAACTGATTGATTTATCATTTACCCTATATTTATTAATGCAAAAAGTTATTCTTATAGTCAAACCCGCTCATATAAGCAACAAACTACTTAAGCTAAAAAAAAAAGCACTTTAACTCTTAGTGACAAACAAGCCAAAATATATATAGTTCGATTAAAGTAATAAATTTATAATGACTCGGGGCATCACTCGGACCAAAAACTAGTTTAAGTTGTAATTTACTACCTATTTCATAATAATTGTAACAAAAGAATATTTATCACTTACATAGTTACATATAATATCCTTTATAAAATCCTTTTGTTGCATGTTTGACGCAAATACCGGAGCATTTTATAAAATTATATAATGAAGATTGTTATAAAATTATATCATAAAACTTTTTTTTTTAAATTATGTCTTGGAAAAAAACCCTATTGTATTACAGTTTGATGTTCGATTTATTTAACCCAGGAACCATACTGGACTCAGAATATTCTGGTCTGGCTACAATAAACAGGTTCTCCGTAGCCCAACATTCAAAGGTACCCAACATTCATTCCCTCTTTGTTTGTTTGTTATTTATTTATTGGACTTTTACTTTCCTAATGCCCCAATTATCCATTGCCAAAAATACCAACAAAACCTAACCATGAAAGTTTAATCACATTGCAAAAGATGTTTTTTTTCCCTGGTTAAGATGATGAATTTGATGATGTAAATCGCTTCCAAAACTTGAATATTGAGTACTTCTCAATTTCAATTGTATTTTTTTTTAAATTATTTTTTTAACATGTGTTCACCCGAATTATTAGTTGTAATTTGTATTTTGAATTAGAAATTTGATTTCATTATCATATGAAGTATGTGTTTAGTGACTTTGACCCAATAAGGAAAAATAACAAGATCCGTCACTAGTCTAACCTATGGGAGGGGGAGGTCATTCCCAAAACAACCCTTTTAGGCTTGTTAAAGGACCATCTCACACCCCAAGATCCGTTACTAGTCTAAACTATGGGAGGCCCATGAATATGTTTTATACTCTATCACGCCCCTTACACGAGAGCCTGTTGGGCTAGAATTGTGGATGCAACATGGGCCCTGCTCATACCTTACGCATAATATTCCACTTGAAAGTGGGGAGGGCGTGTGGATGGGATTCGAACCCGTGACCTTTGTGTCACGCTGACTCCAATACCATGTTAAAGGACCAATTCAACCATGACATGGTATCAGAGCCACTGTGACACGAAGGTTACGGGTTTGAATTTCATCCACCCCTCATTTCAAAGTGGAATATTAAACGCTGGGTATGGTGGGGCCTATGCTACATCTACACTTTATACCCAACGGGCTCTCGTGTGAGGGGGAGTAATAGAGTATAAAACATATTCCTGGGCCTCAACCACCAACTTAAACTTTTAGTTGAGTTGGTCCTTTAACAAGGCTGAAGGAGGCCGATTGAAGAAGGTTTTATATGGGTAAACGTATACTAGGTAATTGGAATTTGGAAATAGGTTGATAGATCGAGGATTGATGGCTTAGTGGTGCGAAGGTTGAAAGAGAATTGGTCTCCATAAATAAAACGAGTCTGATCACGGCATATCAAGAATATAATTAGTAATACCCATGCATAAATACGATAGTAAAAAGTTATCAATATTAAAGATTCTAGACCATACTAGACCCTTATATTCCAGACTATACCATTTCAATAGACCTTAAAAAGTCATTCAGACTACAGATTGATCAATTATGTGCATATATATATTTGACATAATACACGCATGTATACATTGCTATTCACAAGTCACACATATAGTAAAAATGATTGCCGTTTTAGTATTGAAATTATACTTTATAATTGTAATATATACAATAGCTTTAAGACTTCTAATGTTAATTAAAAAAGGTCAACTTTTAATTCATATGTCAAAGGTCAACCTACTCTATGACTTATAATTGGTTGTCAAAGCACATAAAATCATATCAGATTACTACCCAATCCATTCATTATTCACCTAAAATTTTATACTATAAAGTAACATTTTATCATCTAATCCAACACTTATAAAACATACTTAATAAATTATGACCAAACAAAACTACTAAACTCATAACTACGTAACAACTCCACCATGCAATTTTATTTAAGAATTATAGAATAAACACCCTATATATGTCTCTAATGTCTCATACAGTCATACAACACCCAACACCTTCACAACTCTCTTAGTAATTACCTTGCATAATCTTCTCTATTATTCTTCTTCCTTTCTCTTTACATTTTCAACAACCAACCACCAACAACAACGAGATGACAAAGAACGGAGAGCACTACTCGACCCTCGAGGTGGAAGGCGAGAGCAGTAGAGCACGCGAGGCCAAGGGGAAGAATCCCGTCATGGAGGTTCCATTGATTGGAAAAGACGTTGGACACGATAGGGATGGTGGCGCCGGGGTTAAGAGAGGGGTTAGTGTTATTGATTTTGTGGTGAGGTTGTTAGCTCTTACAGCTGCTCTTGCTGCTACGATTATTATGGGTACTACTGATCAAACTCTCCCTTTCTTCACCCAATTCTTCCAATTTCGTGCTAGATATTACGATCTCCCTACGTTCACGTAAGTTTTTCTATTTAATAACTCGTTACGTGTGGTCACGTAATGTTATAGGTCTAATACTTATTAGACAATAAAATTTATGATAATTATACGACTAAATATTTTCGATTATCCCATAATTTAATCGAAAATTGTTGATTGCAGGTATTTCGTGGTAGCTAATGCTATAGTAGCAGCATATCTGGTTCTTTCAATGCCTTTCTCCATTGTCACAATTGTTAGGCCTCTTGTTAAGGCACCAAGGCTTATACTAGTCATCTTTGACACCGTGAGCTTCTTTTATTTTTAATTAATTTCCGTCTAATTTTTTTTATTATTCCAATAATTAATTGACATAACATAAGGGTCGTCCAAATGACACAAGTCTTACACTTGTACTTTTATTATAAAATTTATAAAATTTCCTTAAAATAAATATCAAATGATTAGCCTAGCTTAAAATTCATTCCGATCCAATGATTTTGTTACCATCTAACGAAACAATATAATACTACGTAAATATTTGCATCAATTTATATATCCTTTTCGGAGAATTCCCTCTTTCTCATTGTAAGAAACAGGTTTTGTTTCTCGTGGGATATGTGTCAAGATTTGAGAGTTCCACTCATTACACATAGGTGGTCTTCACAAGTGAAAAACATCACATTATTTTCCAAAATGTCATTAGGAGAAACAAGTGTTTCTCATAATGAGGAATTGGGGCTCCCTCTTTTTTTTTTTTTTTTTTTTTTTTTTTTTTTTTAGTAAACCATAATTGTGATTATAATTTTGGATGTTGATATTTATGTGTAGATCGCGTTGACTTTGACTATCTCCGCTGCGGCAGCGGCTGCTGCTATAGTATCCTTGGCTCACAAAGGGAACACAAACACAAACTGGATTGCAATTTGCCAACAATTTGACAATTTTTGCCAGAGGTCTAGCGGAGCAGTGGTGGCATCATTTGTCACTGCAGTGATTTTCGTATTGCTGGTTATTCTCTCTACCGTTGCTCTTAAGAGCCATTAATACAAGAATTCGGAAAATGGAAATGTATATGTAAAATGTAATCGGTGGTTTTGCTTTTATTGGTGTTGTTTTATTTAGACTTGTTATTGAGTGTAATCACTAATTAATGTGAATCAGTCATATTTGTGTTGGGAAAAGTTGTACATGGATTGGAGATTTTAAGGTTTAAATATTGTAAGCACGCATGATTGCATGATGAGCTTTTAGCTTGTATCATTTACTATTGTTATAGTAATGGATAATTTGTGATTGCTTTGCACCTTTGGTACGGTCTTTGTATCTTTCTTTTAAATATACTCCGTAATTTGTATGAAGGGAAATTGTAGATATCTATACTTTTATATTAAAAGGGGTTTCTAACAAAGTCTATGTGCCACGTAGATTACTTCACTTACGCCATATCACCTATTCAAATCTTATTATGCCACATCGCCACTCAATCAACCTTTATTATCTATAACTTTATACTAAATGCGAACTTTGGGATGATACGCGTCATCTTCTAATTAAAAAATTTTCCCTCCTAAATGGATTTTTTTTTTTTTTTTTTTTTTTGGGAAATTCTACATGGTGGCCTCAAGGATTTCATTTTCCTACGTGGAAGAAAAACTTTTTTCCAAGTCTCTTAAGTGGTACCAAGGTTTTGAAAAATTAAGCATAGTGTAAGTAATTAAATTTTTTTTTAAAACATTAAAAAAAAAATAAATAAAAAAAGAAAACCACCAGCCAGCCACCCACGGTAGCCGCCACCTGCCGTACCCACTGCCCCCGAAGCCGATGCGCCCTAACCCCCCTCCCCCGGCGCCGGCGCGCCCAGAATCCCATCCCTCGGCGTCGGCGCCACCCCGATCTCCCTCTCTTCCCCTTCCCTAACCAATCCGGTAACCCCAACCCCCACCAATCGAAAACCCCTAAAAGAAGCCGGAAAAGTCCGGCTGCCCTTCCTCCTACACACGAAACCCTAGCGTTGATCTTTTCGAGGTGTGGGGAAGGGGCGGTCGGACTTTTTCGGCGAATTTTTGGGGTTTTCGAAGGGTGGAGGTAGGGTTATGGGATTGGTTTTTGATTTTTGATTATTTTTGTTTGAGGTAGGCCAATTTTAATTTTTTTTTTTTTTTTTTTTTGTTTTTGATTTTTAATTTAAATCTACCCTAATCTAATTATTGTTTTTGGGTTTTGTGATGATTTTAGGATGTTTAATAATAATTATTTTGTATATTAATTTTCAGATTTTGGTTTTGAATTAAAAAGCCCCAAATTGAAAACCCTAGGTTTCTAAATTAATGTATATTGATGGAATTTGGTTGTGGTTGATTAAAACTATTGAAATTAATGTATTTAAACTAAATTACAGCAATTTAATAAGTTTTAATAATGCTGAAATTTTTATGTACAAGCTATAATTATGTTTCTTGAAAGGATTTTTAATTACCCATTAATTGGGAATAAAAAGTAAGGGTTTTAAATAAAATTTCAGATTATTTTAGAGGGTTCATGAGTGATTTAAAGAGTGTATATATTGCTCGAAATTTATGTGGAAGAGGTATTAATACTTCTTTATAATTTTGGTTTGTAGGAGACTTTCAAGTGAGTGATTTTATTTAATCGTGACGATTTTGAGATCATATTCAAGGTACGTTCGCGTAATTAGTAATTATGTGGATATGTAGGGGCATGCTAGGCTTGTTTATTTAATTCCAAGTAGTATCATGATAGGTGTTGGTTGGAATGTTGATTTGGATTGGTGTTGGTGAATGATTTGTGATGAATTGGTGATTGGAATTAATTATGTTGGCATGTTGGTTATGAACCACACTTTTATTATTGGCTTGTTAGAGAGCATGTTTAATTAAACTAAATGTTTAATTTTGTTTGGAGTATGAAAAAGAAATTTATTATGGTTCATATAATTTTTATTGATGTTTTGAGCATGGGGATTGAGCTATTAAATGTCTTAGTACACAGGAATAAATTGTATTGCCGTGCTTATGTGCACTTAAGGTGTTTCTAACACCGAGGGATATGATTTGCGGCGCATTATGCGTTTAAGGTGTCTTTGACACTGAGGTAGATTAAAAAGGGTTCAACTACAAAATTTATGTGGACACTAATTATTCAAGAATTAAATTGGTATGTTTGATTGCTTGAATGATTTATTATATTTGATTGTGCTATGGTTTGAGAGTCATCACCAAATATAATATTAATATGTAAACAACGTAAAGTGAAAGAGATTACACACCAAAACTCTTGGAACGTATATACCTTGAGTATGCACATATGAGGGGGGAGTTATGGGGTTTTATATTTAACCATGACTTCTATTGGGAGTACAGGACGCTGTATTTTCCTTATTATTATTATTATTATTATTATTATTATTATTATTATTATTATTATTATTATTATTATTATTATTATTATTATTATTATTATTATTATTATTATTATTATTATTATTATTATTATTATTATTATTATTATTATTATTATTATTATTATTATTATTATTATTATTATTATTATGCGCAGGACGTCCGGTCACTTTATGTGACATTTGCCTACCCGATTAGCTCCTGGTGTAGTTTACCTTAATTTATTTGAGGCAGGGATTTGGTTGGAAACTCGTTCGATGTGTAATCAAAATTAAATAAAAAATGTATTGGTCTAGTTAGGTGTTGAATGTTTTGTTGCTTGTAAACATGGACAATACGGTAAGTTGTGTTATTAGGATGAAAGCATGTTAGTGTGTTTTATTACGCTTATGTACTCAACTTTGCTGATTGTGTGTTTGTATGTTTGTTTGGCCTTGTCTTTACCTTGGCCTTATGACGACTCATTTCTAATGGCGACTAGTGGGGACAAGTAGAGAGAATCTTTTCAGGTGGTGAAGCATATTCATGAAGTGCATGAGTGAAGAGTGAATTATGCTTAGTTTCCATAGGAATATGATGTGTTTTATTTGCTTTAAATATTATTTATATTATTATGCTCACGAGACTAACACAAAGGTTTTTAGTATTGTTAGGTTTTAGGGGCCTATAATGGTTCTAAGTTGTAGGTTGACTTTGTTTGACTTAATTTGACTTTTACTTTCGTTTAGTTTGACTTTTTCAAGTTGATTTGTTTTTAAATGGTTTTAAAAATAGCCTTCCGCTGTGTGAGTCTTTGATATTTTCCTTAGCCGTTTTGACGTTGATGGTAATGTCTTAGATTTTCCTTTTTCGTATTTTTAAAAGGGCAAAATAGGTATTTTAAAGGAAAGGAATTTCTAGGGTGTTAGGTTTCAAGGACCTTACAGTATTCAATGACGCGCTTCTAGGTCGCCAAGGGTGGCGTCTAATTCCCAATCCGGAGTCCCTTTTGAGCAAAGTTCTTAAAGCTAAATATTATCCAAATTGCTCTGTCTTGGATGCCTCGTTGGGGACGAACTGTAGCTTCTCTTGGCGCAGTGTCTGGAATTCAATGGAGCTTGTTAAAAATGGCATTTTGTGGAGAGTGGGGAATGGTTCTCAGATTAACATATGGCATGACCCCTGGCTAGCTGATGAGCAGGGTCGATATGTGTTAAGTGAGAAGAATGGCGAGTTTGAGAGGGTGCAGGACCTCATTAATTTTGAGTGTATGGAGTGGAATGTTGAGGCCATTGAGAGGCATTTTAATGAGAGGGAGAACAGGTGCATTTTATCAATTCCCCTTAGCGAGCATGATCAAGGTGATGAGATTACTTGAGCTTTCTCAAAAACTGGTGAGTATATTGTCAAGACTGCTTATATGCTTGGGATGGGGTGTGACTTGGAAGCTTTTCATCATGCTTTTGTGATTACCTGGAAAATGGATGTCTCCCCCAAGGTTCGACATTTTTTGTGGAGGTTATGTACCAACACCTTGCCAGTCCGTGAGCTTCTCCTTAAGCGCCATATGATTGAATCTGCTGCGTGCCCTGGGTGTAATGGGGATAGTGAATCAGCAGCTTATGCCATTTTCGATTGTGCGCGAGTCAGGGATCTATGAGAGGATAGTGGCTGCTCTTTGCTTCGCAACAGAAGAAATTCCGAGTCTATGTGCGATTTGGTTGATAGCTGGAAGGACATGGACCCAGCGTCGGTTATGCGTGGAGCTTACTTCATGTGGTGTATCTGGGGTGAGCGTAACCATATGGTTTTTTACAGCAAACACACTCCCAATTCTATCCTACTGGACAGAGTTTCGAGGCTCGTAGAAGAACAAGGCAAGTATGCTTCCCGCATCTATTCAAGGAGTGTACAGAAGAGAAACAGCAGCCCAAAATCTTGGCTGGCCCCCCCTGCTGGCATGCTCAAGATTAACTCCGATGCCTCGGTGAGTGACAATGGATGGATTCGAATTGGTGTGGTTGCCAGAGACCACGAAGGCAAGGTTATTTTTGCAGCAACAAGGCGTTTCCATGCCTACTGGTCCCCTGAAGTTGCTAAGGCGAAAGCCAAAGCCATGGAAGTTAGGTTGGGGGTTAAGTATGGCCTCCGAGACATCATCCTTGAGACTGATTGCGAGTCACTTACTAAACGGCTTGACAGAGGTGCCCTGTACTTGTCTGATCTTGATCTTGTTTTAAGTGAGATACTTTCACGTTGTACTTTCTTTAGCTCTGTTAGATGGTCTCATGTTAGGCTTGATGGAAATTTTGTAGCTCATCACTTAGCAAAGCTAGTTCCCTTCGGAGTTGAGCAAGTGTGGGAAAATTGTACTCCACAAGATATAACTCCGTATGTACTAATGGACATTGCTTCTTTATTATAATGCTAGCCTACGTGATTTCAAAAAAAAAAAAAAAAAGTGTCGGAAAACAACTTTATATATTGAAGAGAAATAACCTACCTTTAATTTATTTATTTTTTTGGCAAATTCACCAAACTTATTATTTTTTTCAAGACACAACCTTACCAATGTGCATGTCAAATGAGTTCTTTTTTTCCTATTCCATTGATATCAACATTTTAAAGTTGCCAAAAAAAAAAAAAAAACAAAAAAAACAAAAAAAGGTTGTTTCTCACAAATACCTTGTTATAAAAGATTGTCTCTAACAAATTCTTGCCATTAGTATACTTGTTGTATATCTTGTTCGCTCTATTATCTTGAAGAAAAGCTTTCAAATCCCCCACACATGGAGTAGGTTTAGATGACCGAATTAAACCACGTAAATCCTTATATGTATTGTTTATTTTATTTTATTTTATTTATTTATTTATTTTGCTGGTTTCTCATTATTTATTATTTCGTTGATTATTGTTCTGCAAACATCAAATACATTGTCTATTTTATAACAAATTGGTATCAAGTGTCGAATTTTAAGGCTTAGGGTTTAAGGTGTTTACAGGCAATTTTGATCAACCAAGTCAATGAAATTCAATATTGAGAAATTTGATAGGCAAGTGAATTTTGCCCATGACAATTGAATATGAAGGTTATCTTGATCCAAAATAGTTGTCACAAGGCTCTTGGCGTTATGATGTATCCCATAGGCATGCGAGCATGACGAAGGATACATAGGAGGAAATCGATTTGAAGGCTCTATCGGCATTCCAACTTTGTTTCTCAAATGAAGTTTTAAGAGATGTGCCAAGGAGATGACTTCAATGGATTTGTGACTAAGTGTGTGACAAATTATCTACTATTCAAAAATAGATAGACTTCATGATCTTTGTTTGATTTAGAAGAAGGTAGTCCATTTGAGTCGCATTTAGATGATTTCTTCTCTATTATTATGGATTTGTAAAACAACAATATAAAAGTCGGTAATGAGGATATGGCTATTATCATTGAAAAACAATTAATAATCGACCAATTATTCAACAACAGATAGGCTTATTGTCTAAATCCACATGAATAGAATTTGTGTTTCTATATTGGAACAAATACAAATTAATAGTTGATCTTTACTGTGTGGATCAACCTATCCGCATCATTCTCAGGGTAGTATTGAAAGAAAATTTTACCATAGTCCTTGAGCCTTTTGTATAATTGGGGCCTATCTTCGTTTATCAGTTCCTTTAGAGGCCCTATCTCTTTTTCTGGGTTTGGAATACAAAACATGGCTAAAGATACCCGATCATTATATGGGCTTACAACAACTTTGTGGGCTGGGCTCTTGAATATACCATTACTTGCAATCTGCAAATACATACAAGTATAAGTTTTAGTAAAGTGAAAAACGAAGATGGAGTGTAAACTTTAAGAGACGAATGGAGTAACAATGTTTAAACATGCATGACGAATAATAATTACCTCCATTTGATCTCCAATAAAGAGTAAGATAGCCTCAGGGATGATAGGAACCCTAAACCACTTACCATCTTTCAAAATTTGTAGCCCTTCAACCTTATTGTCTTGTAAGACAATGGTAATGGCAGATCCATCTCCATGTGGTTTTAAACCATCGACTCGATTTGAGGCCGGGCATCGAGGATAAAAATTGAACCTTCCAAGTATTGTATCTTCTTCATCATTCCCCCATAGCTCAAAGAAGTTGTTCTCATCCAGTTTCAATGAACGTGCCATAGCTCTTAGGAGTGAGTCAAATAACATCTTTGATTTAGTCGTATAATTCTCTAAAATTGTCCTGTAAGTCCAAATTCATTAGTTCCAATTCAATTACGTTGCATATTAAACTTAAAATATATACTGCATATGTATAAAAAACATTGGATTCAAATTCTATTTTAAACTTAATTCATGTTAAGTGATTTTTTTAAAACAAATGCTAGTGAGTTAATTTTCCGACTTTTTGGATAGGAAGTATAAATTTAATTTAGTAGAGATCTAAGTATCATTAATTAAATATATTAAACATTTGGATGGAGTGTAGACCTATCTGACGAGGCAAGATAAAAATATCAAGTAGACTTCTTGCTCACAATAAAAGAAATAAAGTAAAATAGAAACAATGTTAAAAAATCAATCTATAACGCGCGCTCTAACCCAACTTGACATTAAAACTCTTTAAGGTTGCACATCCGGTCATATTGCATTGCCTGGTTAGGTCATCTTGTTTCTCTTAAAACATATCAATATTCGACTCAATTTTTAGTTTCAAAATAATAAGTTTTCGTTAATTTTAATTGGTAAATACTTATATAAAGATATTAATTACATCAAAATTGCACATAGAGATTGTAAAAACAAACAAAGCAAAATGAAACCTGAAATTGGAAGGTTTTTGAGGCCAAAGCTCAAATTTGCACTTAGCCAATGGAAAAAGTAGGAGGTGCATATTATCATTCCAATTTAAAGTCTTTTGTTGGTATACATCATCGTTCGCATAGCCTTCAAGTGGCGCATCAGATGAACCGGATTCCTCTGCACATTATAAAACAAGTGAAATACACAAATACTATACATAATAAAATTAAAAATTATTATTAGTAACCAAATCTTACATTAAACATTTACACTCCCTTTGTCTAAATTATCAATTACGTATGTTACTCAAGATTTATTTACGTTTCTGTGGCCCTCAAAATGCATGTTTGGTCATATATATATACAAGTTTTAGGTATGTATAAATCATTTCAACTCAATTTTATTGTGACACTTTATTTGTAACAAAGCTATAAACATTTTGATAGACTTCATATCTTATTGTGTACTGATGATACTTCTTCTGTTTTTTCGGAGTGTTAGCCCCTCTTACGCTTTGATACCTTAAAAGTGAGTGAATTATGCATTAAAATTTCATATTCTGATCGACATGGTAGTGGTCAAAGTGGACTAGTGTTATATGATACTCCGTATTTTATAATCACTAGGATGGCTAACACGCGCGATGCGCGCGCCATAGCTAGCAATATTTGGGAAGCTTTTTCGGTTTGGCTCTACATCACAAATTTAGTTGTTAGTATAGTAGCATTAATGAGGAAAACATGTACAAATATTGTTAGGGGTATAAATGTCCGCACACTATTCTTAAGAGTTTAAAAAAAGAGCTAATTAACATAAATGGGGGCAATTAAGTAAATAAACATTTTAGAGGATATAATTATCCAAGCACTATTTATAAGAGTTATCTCATACTTTTTAAAAGGTAGGATTCTTGATAGTGCATTGGGTATTGAATTGTCGTTGGTAAGTACCTTAAGAAAGAATACATCTCAACCTAACCTTATCCATTCTCAATTTTCCTACGACTGCCAAGAGTATACTCCTTAATAATAAACATATTTAAGTATATATATCAAATATCTATATTTAATGGCAAAGTTAGGCTGAGATAGATAAAAACTCCAAAACAAAAAGAAACAAAAATTATTACAAATAATCTTACAAATTATGAACTATTAGTGTATTACCTTTGCGAAAGTATTTTTGCTTTTCGTTTGTAGGCAGTGCAAAAAATTGCTCAATGACTCCTCGTACCTCGTCAAGAAATGAACTTGTCATGCCATGATTGACAACCTATATTCCATGTGTACATACATAAATCTACATTAGTCTCGATCATGATTCATGTATGTACATAAAATGTAGTATAAAAAAGTATACATTTCATTCGTTTGGTATAATTATATTAAAAATTGTATATGCGACTATTATTTTCGAACCTGGACACAACCCCACGAGTTAAGGGCAGAGTGAAGCTTTGCAAGCTCTTGAGGAGATGATGATGAAAGGAGCGCGAGGTCAATTATTGTACAATCCATCATAGGAAGGAGAACATCACCATCTTCTTGTGTGTGTTCATCCTTGTGTTTGATGTATCTCCCCGGCACAACGCCTTCGCCTTCGAGTACTTCTTGCACAGGCTTGAACGCAGCCGTAGGTAATGCAGCCATGATATAAAGTGAAGCTAAACTAGTTAGATAACAAACCAATTAATTAGCTTGAGAAGCAAATTGTAGAACAACTTTAAAAGCCGTGGCTTAAATATGGAAAGGTTTACTTATATTGAGGAAGTCATGGTACATAGTATATTTCCATACCACAGTGTATTGGTCGTTTTGGTTGTATTATTAATGGCTTTAAATGCCTTTTTGAAGTTACTCTTAAGATTATTTTTTTGTGGTTATGAGTTTATTAAAACTTCTTGTCACCCTTAATTTATGATGATTTAATATGATGGAGTTTTATTTTTACCTTATTTTGGAGGTTACCAACTACATCACATATTCTCTTATTTATTGATTTGATTATGAGACTTGTAACATCAATGTTGTGGTTACAAGTATTTTTTATCTTAAGCCATCTTTTGGTTGCAAAGGCAATGGTTTTCAACAATATCACTAATTAAATCAATTTTTAATTTAGAGAGTCACAAGGGCGAGAATCGATCTCAAGATCTCCTGAAATGGGAAAGAAAGATCTAACCACTTGAGCTATCCCTTACTCTCAATCAATTTTTAGTTAAATCATTATTAATTGTTTCTATTTTTTTGATGTCAAGTGGACTGAGATATTTTATATAACAATTGAATAATTCTTATACAATAATATAAGGTAAGATATGATTCTTGTTGACACAGAATTACAGATCTAAAGTATTGCTATGGATCATTGGAAATCTTTTCCAAATAATGCAGGCTTTCTTGCTATGTTTGTCGCCTTATGTTGGTGGATTTATTTATATATAGCACTAATAACAGCACTAACAAAATGTAAATAAAAATATTTGTGTATATACCCTAGAAATAGTAACACATAAAGTCAATCCAACAAAATTATATCTAACTAAAGAATTTGGTATTTTTTTTCCTAACTAAATCCCTTTAAGAAGAGGGCACCCCAATACTATATAGTAGAGCAAAACTTAAAAGTATATCACGTGGTATATGTTTCGGGTAAAAATAATGGGACCTTCGACGAGGTCCTTTTCTGTGGGCTGAACACTGATTTCGGTCCGAGTGATGACTGGGTCGAGGGTTTTCTACATAGCAGACACACGTAAACTGGCCTCGGGGGTGTTGCCGAGGAAGGCCCCTCCGATGCCGAAGTCAGTATAATGTTTAGAGAGAGAAAGCTATGCAAGAGTATTAATTTCTTGAGGCTTAATGTGTATGAATGTAGAGAGAGAGGGTTAAAGGCTTTTATACCTTTTCTCAATAGAGAAGTGGGCCGTGAATCAAGTGCGCTTTCCACACTAACCGGGCCTTAACTGACTTGACATGGTTTGGAGAGTTAAACCTTAGCCTTGGGCTTTGTAATTGAATCATTTATGGGCCAGCACAATTGAAGTAAATTGGACCCAAACAACTTGCCCCCTAGACCTGATTCAGAAGCATGACGGGTCGGGTTTTGACTTGCAAAATGGAGGGAAGTAAACGATTTAACTAGAGTTTGAATTTGGATAGTTATTGAGGCAATAACGATTATTTAGAGAGTAATTAGGGAAGTTGGAAGGTTTAGTGGGTAGTTAACTAGGGAAGTGTTTAACAGTTGCATTGAAGTGGAGTCAGTGGGGGTTTTAGTGGCGCGGACTCCCAAAATTCCACTTCCAGAAAGTTTTCAAGCCACTCATCCCACACTCTCTCCTCATTTCTTTGCTAATTCTCTTCAGTTCTTCGCTAATCACCACTGTTAACCTGCTTTCCTTTCTCCGCATATTCTCAACAATCTGAAATCTGAAACCGAAATTTGTTGCTTCCGAACTTGTAGATAGGCAAATTTCGCTTCAAATAAAGGTAATTTTCTTTGAAATTTCTTTGATTTTTAGAGTACCCCCCTTTTTCTCGATTTCTCGAACTTCTATTGACAAGGATGGCTCGAGACCGAGGAAAGAGACCTATGCAGGTCGATGAGAAGGAGGAAGTTCCTCAACTAATTCCGCGACGCAATCGTCCGTTGGAGATGATGTCGCCTTTGAGTGGTCACAACCCTCGTCCCAGGGTTGGGACAACAGCTTCTATCAACGGAGCCGCGATTCCTGCGGTACCGTTGTCATCCTTACCTCCCCGAGATTCGACCAGACCTGGGTTTTGCCCCCTGGAGCAAGGGAATGAATTTTGTGTTGATGACCACCCCTCCTTATAACTGGTGGGTGGACAAGAGTCCCCTCTACCTCTTTGCCGAGCAAATTGAAACTTTTTACGGCATAATGGAGGCGGATGGATATTGGTGCCGAATGCCCACAGCTCAAGATAGGATTCACCGTCCTCCCCTTGGGTACGTCGGGGTGTATACTCGGCAACTGCAATTTGGGCTTTGGTTCCCTCCGCACTCCTTTGTTATTGAAGTGCTGAACGGGTACAACATCTCGTTGTGCCAATTAACCCCCGCCAGCATCCGAAGGATGATGATGTTCCAGCGGGTGTGCCTCTTTTATGGTTTTGCTCCGAGCCTCCATGTTTTTCGGAAACTCCATAACTGGTGCCGAACCAACAATCGGATGAACATCATGGTATTGGTTGGTGGCGGATTAAGTCCATAGGGGGCATCTCACCACTTAGCCAAATGATACCTCGGACAAGGATTGGCGGGGCCAATGGATCTAGGTTCGGGCGGCTTAGAAAGAGGACCATCCGAACTATTTTGGTGGGTTGAGGTATTTGAGCGAGCCTGAAACAGATGAGGAGCATCGAATCTGACGAGTTCGATGACCATGAAAAGGAGTTGCTGACTCTCTTCCGCAAGAAGAAGAATCTAAGGGGCAGGGGCGAACGACCCAAGTGCCCACAACTTGGCTGCCCTGCTACCACTACATCTTCCAGGAGAAGATGCTTGTCGTCGTCGGCCTTAGCCGAAAATACCAAGGGGGTAAGGAGTTCGGCTGGGGCCGAAGGCATATGCTTTTTTCTTTTTTCTTTTATTGTTTGCTTTCTTCGCGCTGACTAACCCTTGAATTTTGGTTTTTCAGTGCTACATAAGGGAAATTCTAGTACTAACTACAATTGACTCGGGATCAACGCTGCAAGGCGGGTGACGAAGAACGCTCCCGATATGACTGAGTCATCAGACTGGCCCCTTTATTTGCGCTAAAATAAGCTTCAGATAGTCAGCACCGCTGAGTATGTGGCGCAGAAGGTCTGGTGGAAGAAATGTGACCCCTTCTTCCTTCTGAGCCCCGCAAAACAGGCTGTTGTTGTTGCTGCTGCTGTTAGGACGGCAGGGGTTGCCGAGGCCTCTAGAAGCGGTGATGAACCTTCTACCTCTGCTGCTGATCCTCAAGTAGAAGAGGAGAAAGCTGAAGAAGAGGACGGGGCAACTGAAAACGAACGCCTGTTGAAGACTTCGGTGAGCCTTCCAGACTTGTCTTGATGTTGCCTTTCTTTTTCGTTTTTTTTGTTTGTTTTTTTTTCTTTTTTTTTGACTTGGTGCTCATACCGCTCTTTTCCCCCTATTCCTTGTACTTCAATCTGACGAAGAAGAAGGAAATAGAGGAAAGCCGGCTGAAGAAGAATCCTCTTCAGACGAGTCTTCAGACGAAGATATGTCCGGCCCGAAGAGAAAAAGGGTTGTTTTTAATCCCGAGCAGTTTCACCTGCCCTTGTCCTACCAAGAAATCTTGGCTTGAGGAGGACAAGCTAGAGGAAAGGAAAGAGAAGACTCCTCCCCCTCCTGAGGTCCGTGCCGAAGGAGATAACTTGAAGAAGACTCCTCTTCCTGAGGCATTTGGGGAGGATGAGGTTCTGCAGGAAGCTCCTTCTGAGACTCAGGAGATTGAACTTTTTAGCTTGGCTCCTCCCTCCTCTCCTCGGCACATGGCCGAGCCTTTTACCGACGAGGTTCACAAGGAAGCTGATGCACTGCTTATCCACCCTGAGGTCGAGGAAGTGCCAACTTTGAATGAAGACCTCAAGGGTTTTGATGGTGATGGTTTGAAGGAAGCTGAGGGGGAAAAGAAAGCTGAGGAGGCCAAGAATGCCAATACGCCTTCAACTTCGGCTACTGAATCCTTCAAGATGTTTCAGTCTATGGAGATGGGGTTCGGTTCTGCCCCTTTGGTGCCCGTTCCCGACTATGCCAGGAACGTCTTCGAGTCTCGGCATAACTCAGCCATGGAATACTTCGGCAACCTTTCTAGCATGTCTGAGCCGGAGAGGGCCAGGGCTTAGACCATTGGGGCTGCCGCTGGCGCATCTGAACCACTTGTTAAGGTTTCGGATCCCTTTGTTGAAAATCAGAGGCTGTTGATACAGGTAAATCTTTTGGTACTTAAGCTTTTTCACTTGAGTTTGGCTAATTGTTGGTCCTCAACTTTGCAGGTCGTTCATAACCATTTCTTGGCTATGGAGATGAATGATGAGCTGAAATCCAAAGCAGGGAAGGCCGAGGAAGGTGAATGTCAAGCAAAGATTGCTGAACTGAAGAGGCTAGATGCCGAAGATGCGGCCACTACCCTTAGAGCTGACCTGGACGCCATGACTGCCAATTTCCGGACCTTCTGCCAGGATTTGGAGCAGACCGTCTTCCCTTGGGTAGACGAGGGCCATGCACTGGTCCAGGAGTACGAGGCTGTAGACATTCCTAGCTTCAAGGCCCTTATTGAATTGAGGGTGCAACGGGAGGTTGAGACTCGGCGTCTGATGGTCGAGGACTTCAAAGAGAAGGTTGCCCAGGCCGAATCTGAAGCTAATGAGAGGCAGTCTAAGCTTGAGGCTGAGGTTCTACGACTTAGGAATGAGCTGGAAGCTCAGGACGCAAAGCTCTCTGAAGCTGAGCTTGAGCTGGAAGCCAAAGATGCTGAGCTTTCCCAGGCCCAAGATGAGCTGAATGATGTCCGAAGCCAACTGGAGGCTCAGAGTAAAGGGGCTGCTAAGACTCAAGCTGACCTTGAGGCTGCATGGAAGTTGTTATAAGTCAAAATCTACACCCAAGAAGAATATGACAAGGGTTTTGATGACGCTTCCAAACAGCTCGACGCCTTGCTTTCCATGTTGATCCCAACATTAACTGGGACGAAGCTGAGGAATGGTTCATGGATCCTAAGGACCCGCATCTGCATATGGCCCATCCTGCTGAGACTGCTTTTCTGGCTTGTCAGGCTGAAGCTGAAGCACGAGCAAAGAAGGAAGCTGAAGAGAGGGAAAAAGAAGAAGCCAAAAAGAGAGAATTTGAAAAGACTCTTGCTCAGCCTGCCTCCTGTTCAACTGGTGCTGAAGCTTCTAAGAGCCCAAGCACAGCTGCTCAGCCTGATTATGCTAATGCTGAAGCA